ATTATATGGTGGTTTTGGGACGTTAAACTCCACATATCAATCAATCAACTCGGCCATTTCTCGACCGCTCGTGACATCCAGAGTGCATGGCTTATCATAACTACTGTGTCTTCAAGGAAAACATGCTTTCTGTCACCGCACGCACATTCCGCTAAATTTATCGCTATTGCAATGCTCGAGGACAGCTCACCCATCCACCATAATGCTGCTGGTAGATTTGATGTATGTGCTGACCGCGGCAAAATGGCGGTCTTCTAGAATTCCCGCCATATGTTTTTGACGTCGCGATAAAAAAAAAAAAAAAAAACTACCGTTCGTCGTCGCTAGCCATGCGATCATGAATGACAACCACGTGTCGTGAAGGCACACACGTGAGCAGCGTGCACATAGTCCTGGCGTACCTGCATTCTGCCGCAACTGCTGCGAACTCAAATCCGGTCATGTCAAATGCGATCATGGGCGACCACGAAAGTGCTTGCGCAGTGAACGCGCACCTACTCAACCCAATATTTGTTGCCATAACGATGTAAACAAAGATAGCAACAACGTAGTTCACACACACGGCCAGGACAGCGTGCACAGATTGAAAACGAAACTACTGTTTGCCGCAACCGCTGCGCAGGAAACTGCAGTCCCTACCGTCTTGTTCATCAGTAGGGAATAAAATCTGAAGGTACGCAAATAACACAGCCGTAGATTAAAGATAATAAAGCCATAAAATGACACGAAGCGTAGCGGCTTTCCTGTCCTTCACTTACAGCCACGGTAGTGTGGAGCTTCGTCACTTTCAGTTGTAGTTATCTGTCAACCTTTAGCAAAACTTTGGCACCCTCCTTCGCAACACTGCACACTCGGTGCATGCCCGAACAGTTGTCTAAATGTCTTATTTTCTTATGTATAACCCGCCCATGCATATAACTGGTACCGCCGAGTGCAAACCGTGGGACAGAGAGACTACCCACGTATTTACGAAAGGTTTCTTTCTTTCCGTTGCCAATAAGTCGTGCTGTGAAGCCAACTTGCACACCAAAATTTTCGCATGATTTGCACCTGGACTTTCACTCCAAATTTTCTGTATGATCTTCGTTATACAGTAAAAGCTCGTTACTTCGACACCCATTAATTCGGAAATTTGGATGATTCGGACGGCTCTATTGGTCCCGGCCAAAGTGCATGTTAATCTATGGGACCAAACCTTCGTTATTTTGTTGGAATTTGGCTCCGCACCGCTTAATTCGGACAAATGCTGACTGCTGCTGCTACACAAAAGTGTGAAAGAGCAGCGCTGGCACCACTGGAGTGAAACCGAAACCCGAGTGGCATCGCCATCATCATCAACTAGTAGGGGCGATCGCAGCGTCACTGAACGTCGGCGTCTTCTTTCTTCTCCACTCAGTGTCTCCGACGCCATTTTCCCTTGTGTTGTCGTGTCGGAACCATCTCTTCTTGCGGAGTTCTCTTTTTCTTCTATTGTGACCGTATTTGCATGCCACCACCATCGTGCGCTACAGTGATGGCAACGCCGAAAAAGCGGCAGAACTACGACGGAAAGAACTTGGCGACTAAAGTGAAAATTTTGGAAGCACTGAAGAACGGCGAATCGCGACAGCATGTTATGACCAAGTACAACGTGAAGCGGAGCACGTTGGGAACGTATGTGAAAAATGAACGACATATTCGACAAGCCTTCGAAAGCGAGAAGTTTCATGCCTCTAGAAAGCGGTTGCAAACCGCAGCTCATCCCCAGCTCGAAGAAGCTTAGCTCCGGTGGATTGCTGATTGTCGCAACGCGCATCTGCCTTTGAGCAGACCTCTCATCATGGCGCAAGGTGAGAAGTACGCTGCAATGATGAACATTGAATCGTTCAAAGCGTCAGAAGGGTGGTTTGCGAGGTTTCGAGAGAGACACGAACTTGTCTTCAGGCGTGTGTGGCGAAAAGGCCAGTGTTGACGAAAGCGTGACCACCGAGTGGAGAAATGTGAAGCTGCTGGAGCACATCGCCGCATATGAACCACATGACGTGTTCAATGCAGATAAAACTGCTCTATTTTTCAGAGCTCTGACCGACAAGACGGTGACTTTCAAAGGGGACGCGTGCATTGGTGGCAAGAAGTGCAAGCAAAGGATAACTGTGCTTCTTGCCGCCAATATGACTGGCACGGAGCACTTGCCACTACTCGTCGTCGGGAAGGCGCTTAAGCCACATTGTTTTAAGAACGTCAAAAGCCTTCCTGTCGAGTACACAGCGAACAGGGAGGCATGGATGACATCGGACATTTTTCGCGGCTGGCTGCAGCAGTTGGACCAGCATTTCACGTCGAAGGACCGCAAGATAATTATGGTTGTTGACAACTGCAGTGCCCATAACTGTACAGTGGAACTGAAGAGCATCAAAGTAGTTTTTTTGCCGCCCAGCACTACGTCTGCTCTTCAGCCGATGGACCAGGGTATCATTCACTACGTGCAGTCGAAGTACCGCAAGCACCTGCTAGAGCGAATGATCCTATGCTCAGAAGCTAGAAAGTTGTATCAAGTGGACTTACTCGACGCAGTGCACATCATCGCCCACGTGTGGAAAAACACTCCGCCGCAAGTCATCGCCAACTGTTTTCGGCACAGCGGTTTTGTGAGGCCCGAGCATGCAGCAGTAGCTGACGATGGCATCGAGGAGGTGTCAGATCGCACTCAAACACTGATCGCACTCAAACACAAAGATCGCACTCAAACACTGATTCCAAGAGCAGCGCACGTGATACGGAGTTGGAGTTCGTGGCTAGCAGATCAACAGTGACAAAAGCCTGCTAAGCTTGTCCGCTTACTGGCAACAAAGGTGAAAGCTCACATCTTAACGCCATAGCTTTTAAATTTATTTATTTACAGTCAAGGTCAGCAGACATTACGGGGGGGAGTGGGTAGGGAGAAACAGTAAAATTACAACACAACGCAAGAACAAAAAAAAAGAGAACAATAGTTATACAGTCGACATGTTTCTGGTCATATAATGTTAGCTATTGCATTCCTGAAAAGGTTGAAATCTCTAATGGTCGCTGTTGGGTTTGGAAGGCCATTTCATTCCTTCGATGTACATGGCATGAAGGACTGCGAAAAGAAGTTAGTTCTACACAAAGGCATGCCGACTTTGAAGGCGAGGTTGTGAAATGTGATGAGGACGAATTATGAATTCGGGATGTAAGTAGGTATGGTGGTAGAGCTTTTGAAAAAGAAATAAGCGGAAAAGTTCACGCTGCGATGCAAGAGATAGTAGACTAAGGCCTGCTTTTATGGAGGATATGCTTGCAGTGCGATTGTAATTACATGTAATGAATCAAGCAGAATTGTTCTGAACTATTTCTAGTGACTGTATTAAATTGACATGAAAAGGATCCCATATTGCTGCTGCATATTCCAGTTATGTGCGAATTAGTGTTTTGTATAGGAGTAATTTTAGTGTGGAAGGGACTTTTTAAAAGTTACGGCGTAGGCACCCAAGCATGCGGTTGGCGTTGTTAATTACATGGGTGATATGAACGTTCCAGGTTACGTTAGTTGTGATGTGCACTCCAAGGTATTTGTAAGAGGGTACACTTTCTAACCGGTTATTACCTAGGTAGTACACAGGCGGTCCATGTTAGATTAGTTGGGATGTGCACTCCAAGGTATTTGTGAGAGGGTACATTTTCTAACGGAATATTACCTAGGTAGTACACAGGCGGTGTAGTAGGAGACCTAGTTACGCGCATGAGTTTAAATTTATTTGGGTTTAATTCCATCAACCAATTGTTACACCATTCTGAAATTGCATTAAGATCTGACTGAAGAATATGTGAGTCGTTAGTGCTTGTTATTTCTCTGAAGATTACGCAGTCGTCAGCAAAGAGGTGAATGTTGCTAGTAACATTAGAGGGTAGATCATTAATGTAGATTAAAAAGAGGAGTGGACCAAGAACTGAGCCTTGTGGCACACCAGAGCGCACAGCACTTAGCTCAGATTCTTTGTCGTTAGCGCTGACGAATAGGGACGACATCACAGGTGTGATATCTCTTGCATTCTACGACGACACTTTTCATGATAGAAATGATAACACATTCCATGCAGAGCACGTGGGGCTGGCAAGCAACCGGAGCCCCCAACGGCACTGGTATTAAGGCTTTTCCACCGTCTGGGCAACTGCCTTCCCTACTCCACCTCTCGTTTTTTCACTCTGCGTCCCTTCCTCTTTCGTAACGTCATTGTCGCCCTCTCCTCAGCAGTGCACCTTCTTCAAAAAGCACACTTACTACTGCATTTGTGAGAAATATTTTTCGTCAGTTGCATTATAACCGATCTTGCATATTAAGCTTTTTCTTTCATATTCAAAGTGTTAACGATGCACATTGATTGCACCAAATCAGGTAAATAAATAAAATTAAGCCTCTGAATTGCCTCGTTCTTTATGGGACAACTAGGGACCACCACTCCTCCACGAATTCACCAACTTAGCCAAAAAAGAAGTTTTTAAGTTGCTGTTTCTTAATGTGCTTAGGGATCTTTTCCAACTTTATTTTTCCGATTTTCACTTCAAAATGTTATAAATATATTTTGGAAATATTTTAAAAATATTGATTTGATTTCCCCTCATACTTTAATGTGTTATTTCTCTCCATACCCAAAATTTTTCTGTTTGTGTAGTTCTAAAATGTACTATTCAGAAAAAAAATTATTTTAGTTTTTGTAGCAATAATGAATGCTTGTGTCCTTTGTCTTTTGCATTATGCTAACATTTTTAAGTGTAATAGTTTATCCAGTTCACGATGCCATCTAATTGATTTTGTGTTGATCAGTGCAGTAAGTTATGTGAATAGGTGAAGTTTTGTGATCATGAATAAATTGTGTAAAGAACATGGACTATGTTTGATAGATCAGTTTTCTTTTCCCTGGTCACTTCCTTTTTTGTGTGTGTGTGCTTTTTGTCAGTTTCCATTTTTGTGTCATACATGTAGCTGCTCATACTTTTTCCAGGATGCTGAAGTGCAGCGCTTGGCCAATGGTGTATGCAGTGCAATGCATTTGCTGAGCCATGCTTTCCATGCTGTGAGTGACCTCCACATGAATGTGGGTACCAGGCCACGTATGTTGCGTGCTCGTCTTTTGGGACCTGGTCCGGCTGGCAGCATTTTCCACACTAGCATGCCATTCCAAGTAAGTGTAGATTGCTCTCAAGAGCTGCATTTCATTACAGGTTCTGGACTCGTTCCTCGAGCGTAACTTTTTATTGAAACATGTAAGACAAGGGAGTGCACATTCGTGTAGCATTAGATATGTTTCAAATTTCAGTTCGTTGGTAGCAATCCAAAAAATGAGCGAGAAAAAATGGCTTGTATACACATTATGAATGCAAGCCAGTTGAATTTCAGTAACCTGCACGAGGTAAGCTCTCGTTAAACGAGGTTTTTTAAAAGGCATTGCTGTCTAAATGTAACAGCTGTTTGTAATATGACTGGTTTCATATATTTGAAAATCACACCCCTCTTCATTTTACTGTAAATGAAACGTGAAGCTGCTGCTGAATGGAACATTTTTCTGGTCCTTTCAGTTTCTGTTTAATGAAACTCGGGCTGAATAGAATTATTATTATGCTGCTTAAGGGGGGACGTGGCAAGTAAAACTAATTTTTTTATTAATGTACTGTTTGTGATGAAATTTGGTGTGTGTATGTGGATGATTGTGAGGATTCCAAATATGAAAACCGTTTTCAAATACCTCTTGTACTTTTTGAGTTACAAGCATAATTATACTAATTAATGCTCTTCACACTTAAAGAGATAATTATTGCTAAATGAAATTATTTTTTCATATTATTATGTTCCCAAAGCATCAACTTGTGCAAAGAAGCTATTAGTTGATTTTTCTAGTTCTTGTAACCATAAATAAAATTTCCAAAACATGGATGTTGTTTTGCACACACATCGCAGTAATTATAAAATGTGTTCTAAGAATTTTAAATGATGAGTAAGAAGAGAGATAAAGCTTTATTGCACTGCTAAAGGCCTCCTGAGCCTAGTGCAAAAAACGGAACGACTCTATCAGTCTTTGTTAGAAAATGACAGATGTTCTAGCGAAGGCACATAGGCGAAAATCAAGAGTTGAGAAAACTGACTTTGAAAGTTCACTCTTGTTTGGAAGTTCACAACATGCCTAAAACACTCAGAATCCTCCTGGGCAGTAATCCTGAGATGCTGTGGCCTTGGCCTCTGTAGAGCGCAACCCAGTTTTGCACTTCTTTGTCGTGGAACAATGCACCTTTTGAGCCCTCTTCACCCTTTTGGCATCCTTTTCGGCTGCTCGCTGCAAAGAGCAGTCTCCTGGATTGAAGCCCAGTTGAGCAGTGAGCTCTTGCAGCGCACTCTTGCAGCCACCATTGAAACGGCAGACTGCATCTGCCACTGCACTTTCCACACTTCGAAGGGAGGCGAACTGGCTCTTGGACTGGAGTGACCAAATGAGGCTGTTCATACTCTCCACAGCGTTCTGGGTTTTTCCCTGCGCACACCTTTCAAGGAGCTCTTTGTTCGAGAGGCGCTTGTAGATTGGCAGCAGTGCCACTCGCACGTGAGGGGGCAGTTTATGTTTGTGAGGCGGCAGCGGCTCTCCCTTGGCCAATGCCTGATTGTGCGGGCACCAGGAGTCAGTCCCACTTGGGCACAGGTCGTGGTGTGGATCCTGGTCTGTGGATGTTACATGGTAATAAGTGGCCATGATGGCCCTCTCCATGCCAGGAACATCGTTGGGGTGGCTCTTAATGGCCCAGCCATAATAATTCGTTAACTTCTTTATCAGGCCCTGCGTCAGCCGGCCTTTGCCACCCATGCTCAGTCCTCGGCCTTTGGATTTGTGCTCATCAAGAAGGTTGCGCAAGGAAGTGCCCATTCTTTTTTTCACATGGTTCACACACTCCTGTTTCTTAATCACCATGTAGCCATACACCTTGTCTTGCGTGAGGGCAAGGTACGTACGGCTGTCACCGTCGCAGAGCACATTGATGTATCGAAGCTTGTACTTGGTAAACGATCTTTCAAACATGATCCTAGCTGCTTCTACTTCCATTTGGCCTGCATTAGCATCAGTGTTCTTTTGGCACTGTGGCTTGTGTTTCTCAAGCCACTCCTCATAGTTGTCGTCACCAGGCTTGGGGCCAACAGCACAGCCTTGGCAGTAGTTGGACAGGACACAGTGGTCCAAGACCAACCAAGCCTGTGTACAGCTCGATTACACAGCCCACGCCAATATGACTTCTGTGCCCCCTCGTCATCCACGTGCCGTCGTAAATGACGTCAATGTTGCCTGGCACTCCTCCTAGGTCCTTGTAAATGTCATGCACCTTCTGTGCACTTTCTGGTTCAATGCGGGTGGCAGCTGATGTGGTGGCAGGGTGGCTGTACTTCCTTTGCAGTCTCTGGTAGGACTTGTGGTGCAGTGCTCGATGCGAAATGTCCATCGCAGAAAAAATGTCATTTATGGCAGATTGTTTTCTGCCAACTGACTGCACAGCCCTCAAAGCACGCACGTTTACCTCAAAGGGGTTCGTTTTTTGTTGCCCGGAGCACCTCGGGGACGACCACGCACTGTTCACTATGCCACAATTGTCACAAAAAAGTTCCATCCTCGCCGCGAGTCCAAGGCAGTGCGTAGTCTCGAGGCGTATCGACCCTTCGTCGCACTTGTTGCACTTTACTGACGAAAGCAGACCGTTCAGCATCTTCTTATTTACAATGAAGTATGTGGAGTCCTTACCGCCGTCATTTTCGTCGCAGCCTTCGCTCAGAAGCTCGAGCTTCCGCTTTGAAGCGGACTTCGATGCTACGGCATCCAAAACATCCCGCCTTGTCTGCGCCCGCTGCGCGATTTCTTCACTGCTCGGAATCTGGGCCGAAACTCGCGATAGAATGTTCGACGCGCGCACGGCCGGAGTTGCAACGGCTGCCGACGCGGTGCCACCGCAATCGGGTTCGCGAGAGCGTCCATCACGGTCGACGGCATCCGGCGGTCTGACATACGACGATGTGGCACCTTCCACACTCTCGGCCTCACAACAATCAGCGAAGGGTCTGAGTAGAGGCTCCGTGACGCTTGAAGAGCATGCTCCGTCCGGAACTGCGACTGGGACGGCAGCCGCAGTCGTCTGCCCTTTGTTCCAAGCTTTCCGACGCTTGCCGTACTTGTGGACGCTCCGGAACTTTTTTTGCGGCAACATAGCACCGCCGTATGAGCAAGCACTCAGAAGAGACCACCGATGTAAACAAAGCTTGGTAAAAAAAGCACGCGAACTATCACAAAAACAGCAAACTGGCAAAAAACGAAGTGCACGCCGGATGATTCTCGGCACGGCGGCCGCAGATGCGCTCGCGCTTCCAAGGTTGCCAAGGTGCGCGGCGCAGCTTTGACCAGTAAGAGGTCGCGCCTGCTACCACGTGACCCGCGCAGCCAATTGCCGTTCTTCGTTTTCGTTTTTTTACTTGCTCCTCGCGCTTTTATTTTCACTCGGCGAAATACGAGACCGCGACCATCGGGAAGCCGGCTTTCTCCTCTTTCCAAAGCTACCAAAATGGCGGCCCACAGTCAACAACTTGGCGCGTTTGTGCGGCGTGAACAACACCGTTTCAGGGGCTTTTTTTTCGCACTTTTCGGCGACTAGCCTCGGCAAAAACACTATTTGCGGGATTTGTAGCGCACGTTTCGCTGTAATATTTTAGAACAAGGAAGTTGAAGGTCTGAAGATTACGAAAAAAAATAAATCAGAAAATCGCATATTTTGACCAAAATCGGCACTTTACTTGCCGCGCCCCCCCTTAAAGGAACACTAAAGTCAAATAACAATTGAGGTCAAAGTGAAACCTCAATGTAAGACATTTAAAATGATATTGTCAACAACAGTGCCCTACTTACTGAGAAATTAAGGTAAGTGCACAAGAACACAAGCGCCGCAGTAGGACATTTTCAAAATGATCCTGATGACATCAGACGGACCACCTACAATTAATCACTGGTAATCGATCTAATTGCACTAAATAAAGAACCTTCCATGCATCAAGAGACACAATAAAATGCTGCTTGTTTGTTTTAGTTTGATTCACGGAAAAAAAGAACCACCGGACGTTACTATGGGGAATGGTGCGAGTGGTTCAAAAATTCTATTTTCGCGTGGTTACACGGGACAGGTGGTGCCATCTAGCGGGGCGCAGGTGAAACAAGAGTCTGCAATCTCGAAGCCAATGGCGGGAAATTGATCAATGGCTGTTGTTGCTACTGTGGTTCTCGCTGCTCTCGGTCTGCTGCTACTAGCTCAGTAAAAACAGGCAGCGTTGTGCATGGCAACAGTGACGCGAGTCAGTCCGGGTGGTCCGCTTCTTGAGGCGGGTAACTTGCTAACCCGATGCAAAGCACTAAAACGTCATTTTATTTCGAAATAGGCCCTTCCTTGGCACAAAAGTAACATTACGAGGTTTCTTGACCGTCATTTCAACAATCAATGTCGACTTTAATAGTTAAGTGTCCCTTTAATGGAATGGAATTTCATTATTCTGTTTGATGAGTCTGCTGTATATTAACCTGAAGGGGGCCTTAAGGGGGGAAGTGCCATTGAAAAAAAAAACTTCTTTATTTGTTGACCTACAGCAATGAAATTTGGCATGCATACTCATAAGTGTCTTGAATAGGGAAATATGCAGTTTCATCATGATAGCTTCAGTAGTTCTCAAGTTACATAATGCTACACGATCCAATTACATGGTCTGCTCGTGGAAAGCCTAGCGCTGCAACAAAACAGGCCAGCAAGCTGCGAATGGTGTTGATCTTTACTCAAAAGAAAGCTACAGGGTATGGCACTTTCAGAATTTTTTAATAAGTTCTTTTCTTTTTGAGATATTATCATGGCTGCCAACACACATTATCAGAAACAGTGGCACGGACAAATCATCGTCTAGAAAAATAACATGGCCATAAAACAGAAATTGAAGATTGCTGTACCCACAAGCAGTGTTCAGGGATTCAGGAAAAAAAAAACTGAATCAAAATCTGTCCAGTCATTCCCGTGCTACTCTTTCCACGAGCAATGCACAATGTCCAAAACACACTTGTGAGAAAACGCCTGTCGAAGTGTTCGACAGGCTTTTTTTTCAATGAACTTTTTTGTTTCTCGTTGG